TCTCCTGACCCCGTGATCCACCTGCCTTGGCCTCCCAAAGTGCTGGGATTATAGGCGTGAGCCACGGCACCTGGCCGCCACTCATTCTTAGGAAAGCTTTAAGGGACATGTGGGTTTAGAATTTGCTTTTATTCTTTGGGATTGAAAAATCGTTGCAGTGTCCCTGAAAGTAAGGTCACTGTGTTCAGACTGCTCTAAGAACTTTATGGGAGTTCTTTCACTATGCAAATGATATTTGTAATAATAATCTGTATTTGTCACCCATACTTGGGACAGAGGCACTTTTAGCAGTTGGTTCTATTTAATACTATACTCTAAAGTAATACAATTATTTCTTTTAAAAAATACCCTCTAATTAAACAGTCACACAAATCATCCTAACCTCTCCATTATATCCTGTTACTGAGCTCTGGCCTTATTTCCTAAGGAACTGGAAAATATGACTGCCCTAGGTTTGCATGGGCTTTGAAAATACTATGTCCTCATTCAATTAGAAAGCAAGATTCATTCTTAACATCTTTATACTAACCAAAAGACAGTTTCCTCAAAGTGGATTAGCACGCAAGTTTGACTTGGTGGCTTCATGTGTGTACATTGCTGTATCAGGTAAAAATGGAGAAATATTGGACAAAAATTATGCAACTCAAAGACTAAGGAGGTGGTCATTCTATCATACTTTATAACCTCCTAATAAGTGCTACCAATAATATTTAAATCATGGCTTCAGTTAGTGTAAATATTCATAAGAAGCCAAAATGTTCAGAATATATAAGTTCAGAAAATATTATTTTTATATATATATATAGTGTGTGTGAGTGTGTGTTATTTAGAGATGGGGCCTTGCTATGTTGCACAGGCTGGACTCTAACTCCTGGGCTCAAGTGATCCTCCTGCCTCAGACTCCTGAGTAGCTGGGACTACAGGCATGAGCCACTGCACCCTCGGACTATTTTTATTAGCAGGGAGTACACTGTTAGTGCCAGATAATATTATTCTACTAACTAAACAATGCTCTTGTGCTTTGTTTGCTTGGAATGGGAGAGAGTAGGGGAGTATATAATTTATGGGGACTAGAAATAAGAGTTTCTTGTGGAGAGCAGTTTTCATTTGATTTTTCTTGTTTCAATTTCACGTTTGCTGTTTATCATCTAGTTCTTACCTTGTTTACATTTTCAAAAGATCAGTGATTCTCACTATGTTTTTTTACTGAGTCAGGGCTCAGTAACAGTGGTTGATGTGGCAATGCTGGGGTATGGGAGAAAGGGATCTGAAGGGACCCCAAATGATTCTGCTGCTCATCCCTCCTCTTGTGGTCAATACTCCCGAGCCCTCCGTACTGCCCTCCTACCTCCTCATGTGTTGGATTAGATTTATTACAGCTGCTGTGGACATGGTTGCCTAAATCTGTGGAATGTTTTGCTAAATGCTGCTGGTGCAATAGTACACATTAAGCTTATAATTCCCATTGTTGTTTTCTTGAACCCGTTCTTTATACTTAGTCTTTTACTCACTTGATCACTTTATGATTTTGCACTTTGACATCCTGTAGATTCATTAAGAATTTTTACTCCAAGCCCCAGAACTTTGTTTAACATTATGATTAGCCAAATTGTTATTGTGTTTGAGCTAAGTGATGACAATGTATTTGATTGGAGCCTTGTAATTGTTATTTTAAAATCAAAGTAATGGATTTTGATCTCAGAATAAGAACATGATCCAAAAGAATAATAATGATAATAATTAGAACAGCAACCAATTAGAAGAAAATAAATGCCCTATCATGGACCAGAGGCCCTATGTGTCTGGGCCCTGCCTACCTGTGCAGTCCCATCTCCCACCCACATCTACCCTTCCCTGGATTAGCCTCACTGCAGCCTTCCGGTTTCTTCTTTCCTGTCTTGGGAGTTACATGCATTGTTCTCTCTACTTGAGAGCTCTGCCACTGGTGTTTCTCTTGGTTAGCTCCTTCTAGTCTCACCCACAGTCTCACTTTGCTAGGGAGGCTTTCCCTGGCCACAGCATCTAAAGTCGTCTCCTTCCACTACACCACCTGTCCACACAAGCACATCACTGTCTCTCACAGCATGCTGTTTGTTTCCTTCAACGTTAAGAAACCTAACTCGTGTTTCCTTGATACTTGTCCATCTTTCCCACTGGCCTCTAAGCTCCATGAGGGTGAAGATTATACCTGCCCCATTTGCCATTGCAGCCCCAGTGCTTTCCTGGGACCTGGTATTAAGTGGATGCTCAATATGTGTTTGTAGTTGAATTAATGGATTATTTGGAAGTATCATCTTTTTCCCAAGCCCATATCCAGATAGCCTATGCTTAGTACTTCCTGAGTCTATTTGTGATAACATATGATCTTCCAGTGGTAGAATTTAACCAAGCTGTGCTGACTTTTCTCAGGCATATGAAAGATCAGAATAAGAAGGTGGCCAACCTCAAGCACAATCAACAGTTGGAAAAGAAGAAAAATGCTCAGCTACTAGAAGAAGTCCGCAGGCGAGAAGATAGCATGGCTGACAACTCACAGCATTTGCAGGTAAGCACGGGCTTCTCTTCTTAATCCCTAAATAACTAGAGATGGACTCTCTCAGAAATGTCACCATTGCTGCTGGAAGATATTCACAGAAATGGTGGACTTTGCCTTTGCCTGGGTCTAGCACTAACAAGGAACCCAGTAGGTCTTTCCCAGGGAGGGTCATCATTTTCAGAACGGTGGCCATGAAAAGCCAATTACGGTAGAGCCTAGAAATACAACGCAGAGTCTTTTGGTTCCTGTAACTCACCTTAAAAGGTAAGGGCTGCATTTATATAGTTGGCAAGAAACTTAAAACATAGAAATGTCTTCATTTTCAATTTATATTTAAATTATTTTGGGAATAGAAGAAGGCAAATGTGTGTGTATTATCACAGAAGGTATTTGGGTGAGGATGCATTCAGCTGATCCCAGACAGTTTACAAAACCAGTTTTGTTTTGTTCAAGACTGCGAGGCTCAGGCACAGATCATTATTCTGTCTTCTCCGTGAATATAGTTATCTTTCAATGGACAGTTCTATCTTAGAAACAAACCAACTCACTGGAAACACCAATTTTTCCTCATTAACCACCCTTATTTTTGGCCAAGGAGTGCTCCCCATGTACTCAATAAAACATTCAAGTTAAAACAGGGCATTTGCTTTGAAGTTTCTTTATTTATTCCAGGGTGCCTTTAAACAGAGCAGTTCAAGTTGGCTGGAGTTCATGTTAAATTTTGGTTATTAATTAGTGTCTTTCTCCAGTCATATATTAGGTTTCCTCCTTGGAGATAGGAGAAGTTAGATAATTTCAATATGTACTCATAGTTCATCTTTTTAATTGGCCAAAAGAAAAATCAATAATTATTCCAGAGTAGGAAATACAAGGAAGTACCTTGCATAGGGCATGGCACATGGGGACTCGTTAGTCAATATTAGTGTTTTTTTTTTTTTTTCTCTCTGTGTCCTAGACATACCTTCTGGTGTCACTGAAGGCCCTTTACATTGATGCCTGATTTGGAGCGTTCACTGAATAGTGAGACAATAGTAGGTGGGCCCAGAACTTTTTTTTTTGTTTGAGATGGAGTCTCCCTCTGTCACCCAGGCTGGAGAGCAGTGGCGTGAAATTGGCTCACTGCAAGCTCCACCTCCAGGGTTTATGCCATTCTCCTGCCTCAGCCTCCCATGTAGCTGGGACTACAGGTGCCCGCCACCAGGCCCGGCTAATTTTTTTTCTATTTTTAGTAGAGACGGGGTTTCACCATGTTAGCCAGGATGGTCTCAATCTCTTGACCTCGTGATCCGCCTACCTCGGCCTCCCAAAGTGTTGGGATTACAGGTGTGAGCCACTGCACCCGGCCAGGTGGGCCCAGAACTTTAAAGAGGACCTGACGCTAGGGGTCACCTTGCTATGGTGTATTCTGTAAAAGAAGAATAATAATTGCATCTGCTTCAGAGTAGTTGTGAGACTTAAAGAGTCAAAGCATATAAATAATTTAGAATTGACTATGCCCAAAAAAAGCGTTCATGACTAACGGTTGTTATAACAAGGAAAAGGTAAATGAAACATTAAAAACGATTTGTCTACTATATGCAGAGGTATTTCTACAGTTCTAATCTGATATGCAATGAGCATCAAAGTTTTTATCTTTTCTATATATAGTAATTTCTTCTTTTCTAAGGGCACATCTAGTTATGGAAATTAATGTCTTGTTTTGGCCCATGAACTTTTGTAGAGAAATATTTTCATAATGGGCCTTGATAACTACCTCATAGCCCTATTCATAAAAGATAGCATGGTCTGGAATTGCTTAGTTGCATTCCTGACCACCCGAAATAAAGCATAGCATTTGAAATGCAGTAAAAAGTAATCACGATTACTTTTGATGAAAATGTCTCTGATTAAGGTTAATAGAGAGTAAACCTCCCACTTCCCTGGATTGTTAAGCAGACATGCTCAGATGTAGTAATTACTGCCTTCTGAAAACAAAACTTTCTGGAGGCACTTGACTTTTTTAATATTGTTGTTGTTTTGAGCATTTCTCGTTTACAAGTTAGCCTGTTAAGCCTTTAAGTGTCAGTCAACCGGGATTTAGCGTGGCTGGTTGGTGGTTGTGGCAATGGCACCTGTTAATTTTTATTTATTCTACACAAGCATTTGGTAACAACTGGATACACTGGCTTCATGATTTCAACCAACCCAATAGGTATTATATCCAGAAAAATATAATGTAGTGTATTGCCTACAACAGTAACAGCTAGTGGATCAGGCTTCAAAGAAGAGCACCAAGAGATTCAACTAGTTGGTATGAAAGTTGGTAAAAAAGTTGAATTAAGATAGAGTGACTATGTTTTTTATTGTTCAAACCAGAACACAAAAGGCATAGACAAAATCTGCGTCACCTCAGTCAAACCTAGATACATAGCACAGTACGAAACATTTTACAAATCCAGTCTTCTTTATTTCATAAGTTTATAGTTTTCCGACAGAAATTGCAAACTCAAATGCTTTCAGAGTCTAGGCTTTTAACATAAGAAACAGGCTTGTATGTAGGAAAAATAATGATGTCTGGTTCTTTCTGCCTGTTTTTTATGGTTTATTTTTGGTAGAGATGTGTCAGTTAGCAATTGCCATAATAATGCTGTGCTGTGCAACAAATCACCCCAAAACCCAGTGGCTTTATAGTACCAATAGTTTATTCTTACAGATTTGCAGGTTGACTAACTGGCCCAGCTGCTCTAAGGTGGGTTTGACTGGGCACTTCTTCTACTCACTGCACGTCTGTGGTGGTGTCTGGGGCAGCTCTGTTACACGTGTTCATTCTGAGGCCGAAGAGGTGTGAGCAACCCAGGGAAAACTCTTCTAGTGACAGTTGCTGAGGCACAAGAGAATAAGCAAAACATGCTAGGCCTCACAAGGCCTAGTCTTGAACTGATATTGTGATTTTCACCCTTTGCATTGGCCCAAAGCAAAGCACATAGCCAAGCCACAGATTGGAAAAGTACACTCTACTCACAAAGACAAAAATGTATGGGAGTAGATATGAGGAGAGGTGAAGAATTGGGGCCAATTATTCAGTCTATCAAAAGAGACAAGCCCTGGAGAAGTATTTCTCTATTATAAGAAAAATAGCATATGCATAATGAAAAAGTTCAGCTGTGGGTGGCCTTAGTGTGTGGATATACTTGAGGGTGGTGGGGAGCTGAAGGGAACTCAAGAACACTTACTCATCTAAGGGAGTAGTGGCCACTACGCTCTGGTTGAACACTGCTGTAAAGGTGGGCCTAGGGTGGTGGGTGGGACCCCCGATTGTCCAAGATAATCCATAAAATGGGAATTTGTATGTGAAATCTGTGGACTTTAGGAAGTTAGTTGAATTTTTAAACACTCTGGGATCCTGTGAAGCACACGTGCACATGAGTTGCCCACTGGCTTGTGGCCTCTGCTGCGTGGCTTGGCACTTTGATCCCTGTGGGTCTACATAGTGTAAATAAACTGACTAAGAATACACCCTAGTTAGCTGAACTTGACTCATTGGAAAGGTGGCAGTTTAGTATTTGTCCTGAGTCCTCATTTTGTTTGAAGATACTTGAATTATTGTTTCTTAAAGGAAATCGTCCACAATCTACAGGAATAGGGAATGTTCTTGATTTAGCTTCTCAAATCATTTTTTGGAGCACTGACAAGGAGAACAGGAAGGGAAGGATGCAGAACTATGGAGTTGAACTAGCCAGTGTTCAAATACTGGCCCTTATTATTATTAGCTTAAGGCCTTGAGTATGGCAGAGAATCTCTCTGACCCTTACTTTTTTCATCTGTAAATGGGGATTGCAATCTTTACCTCCCTGGGTGGGTTAAATAAAATAAGGTTTGTGAAAGAACCTAGCACAGTACCTGACATATGTGGACTTCAGTTACTAGAGTTTTCTCCCAGAGAGACTGATAATGAGCTTTTAATCATAGAAGACAGTGACCATTGGGAGTATCAACCAACAAATTCTTTGCAACTATTTTACACTGATGAGTAACACAGATATAGAACACACACCAGTAAATGGAAATTCCCAATAAAGCATTAAAAAAACATTTTGGGCAAGAAGGAGGAAAATTAAAACATTCTTCAAGTTAATGTTGAATTGTGTGTGAAAGGTGGATGTGAAAGAGCGTGATTTTCTTGTATAATTCTGCAGAGCTTTTCCCAGAACACAGATTATAGGGCATGATATTTATGTCTGACCTTGGGGCTTTGGGCTTCTGTGTGTCCCATCAGAGCCCACATGGAGGTTTTTCAACAAGGTGTCTTTCTGGAGATTCACACTAAATCGTCATTTCCAGAATGGGATGCTTTTTTTTTTTTTTTTTTTTTTTTAAAGCTCTACCTATTTCTCACTGAGTAAATATGCCAATTTGAAACCCCAGTGGATATCCTTGTAGATTTTGGCTGCATTTTTCCATGTGTAGCTTATCGAGTTAATAAACTAACTTTCTAAAAAATGCACAAGCCAATGTTTTATGCTCCTTTTCTGTTATATGTCTGCAGAATTCTCTTCAATTTATTGCCTGAAAACTAAAGTCTGTTCTTGTGTGCTTCCGTTTCCAAATTATAGGTTCCCAGGGAACCGTAAAGTTTCTTCTCTGCCCGTGGTTAAACCCAAGTGTGATCACTTTAAAAAGCAAATGAATGTTCTCATTTATTCTTGTCCTTTTAATAGAATTCTAAAAAAAAAAAAAAAAAAAAGGCTAGAAAGACAATTTTATTTTTTAATTTGTGTAACCCTGTACAGCCAATATCTTTTTTCGAAGGGGACTTCCTTTACTTTCCTCCTCCAATTAGAGTTGGAATCAACTAACAGAGGAAGTGTAACAAACAACATAAACCTCAAAAATGCATAGCTTTCAGCAAAACATATAGTTCATTATGGAGTTCCCAAGGTTTGCTAAGTTGTTTCTTTGCAGAAGGATGTGTATATCTTAAGCAGCAACTTTTTAAGCTTCATATCTATATGTTCATCTCTCCAAGTCAC